AACAAATTCAAACTATGAAAAACAAATAACAAATAACAAGTAGCCAATGCTTTACTGTGCAATAAAGAGTTTGAATTTATAGAGGATATAAAACAGAAAATCTTTTTTTCTGATGCAAATTGCTTTAAAGTATTAAAGAATGGGAGAATTTTCAGTATCACTGCATTATGATCACACATCATGTAAGAACATGCCTGCTCAAGTCATAAAATAACCACTGGCACTACCAGTTCAGATCTGTTCCCTGGCCTCAGGGCTGCTGAAAACCATGCTGTAAACCAAACCTTCTATTAAAACTTAGCCAAGAGAATAAGATACAGGTCAGACTGGTCCAAGTATTATTTGATGAAGGAAAGACCCTTCTAAGTATTTAGACTTTATAGCTCTAGTTTCTTCAGCTGGAATCTATAAATGTTTATCCAATCTTCCTGAGATGTCCTTTGATTTCTTAGGAGTTTTTATTTTTAAAAACACAGATAACATTTCTGTAGCCATATTGGACAAATAAGTAAAGGAGATGACACAGTGATCTGAACCTTTGTTTGGATTTTCTCTCAGTATTTATAGACACCAAGGCAATCCATCACTGGCTGCCAATGCAAAGAAATTCAAACTTACAGAATACCCATGCTGATGTGGTGTATTTAATATAAGGCAGACCTATGGTGTACAAGAGAGACTTCCCATCAGTTGTTTGTAGGGTTTTTGTTGTGTGGTGCTTTTATTTTTTTAAAGGTATTTTCTACTGTAAGGCTATCACCAAACCCTCCAATATCAAATGGAATTTTTAAAGTGGAAAAGATTGAAAGGAAATATGCCTAAATAAACAATACAGAGGTTGTCTTCTTGTGAGAAATTTCTTAGTGTTGTGAAACAAATATTCGTAAGAGAACCCATCTTGAGAAAACCTGGCTTTACACTAACAAAAAACAATGGTGAAAATAATATCCATAGAGGACAACAGGCAAAATGTGGTCAGGAAGGTGGGGGGACCATGAGTGGCAGTGGGTCCCTGCTCTGCAGCGTCTAGAAGGGCATCACAGTCTGCAGAAGCAGAGGAGCAGGGCCGGCAGGAGCAGGAGCTGCAGTGCTGCTGGGGGCCCTGAGCAGCACAGAGCCACACAAAGACCACCCTGATGGCCAGGAGAGCACAGGCACCTGCAGGCACCCCTGCACAGTGGATCCTGGCTGTGCATCCTGCCTGGCTCCCTTGCTTTAGCAGGCAAGAAGGAACAGACTGATTGAACAGACAGCTGATGTGGCAAGGCTCAGGCTCAACATCCAGGCACTGGCGTTCTGTGGTGTAGTTAAAAAACCGTAGGAGGAAGAGTGACTTTGTTTTAAAAGCTCATCTTCAAAAACAAACATGCAACAAAGACAGGGGTGTATTCATCCCTCCTATCACATCTGTGCCCTGCAGGCAATGTTCTGAGAGGAGTCTGTGAAACTCGTACTTGCAGCTATCTCAGACAGCTCCACCTAGAACTGTCTCAGCGCCGGCTCTCCCGGAGCCTGACACGCTGCCAGGGCTGTGTACGTGATCCGCTCGTGTTCCTACGCAGTCCTAGCCGTGTTTAACTCGCAAGTATTTGCAAACACGCCATGCAGGAAAACACGGTAAACATGAAAACGGGCTCGGGAGGACGATTTGCATCCACTGTGCTGGTTTGCGTGCACTGCAGAGGTGCAGCGATCCAAACACGCTGTCCCGAGGGAGGACCGTGCTGCTCAGCCCTCTGGCCAGGCACTTGGAGATGCTCCTGCACTGCAGATGCTGCTGCGACTCCAGCCCGCGGACTGAGCTGCTTAATGTTAACCAAGGATTTTGTACGCATTTTGCAGCCAGAGCTGAGCTCCATGCTGCCGTGGTTGCTGCATTACCTCCACCAGTTTCTGAACTGGCTGTTGAAATGGCAATTGCTTGTTCTAACCTGCCTCTGGCAAGCTCTGCTCCGTGCCACTCTCCATGCACCCTGCCCTGCCCCTCTCCTGGGGAGCGCTTCGCACCCCGCAGTTCCTCCTTTCTGCTTGCTCAGCCTCTGTGTCCCTGCTTCACCTTTCTCCTTTAATGCTGAGCACAGCCCTAGCCAGGCCCTCCCTCCTGACATCCCAGACACAAAAGAAAGGTCACCGCCATGCCCCTGTTTCAGGTAGGAAAAGACATACCAAACAGACCTGGGGACAGAGCTGTCCCATGCCAGTGTCACAAACAGTCTGCACAACACGGCCTCTCAAGGCTTGCACAGATCTACTCTATGAAGAGAAAAGTCCCAAGGACTGTTTGTCTTTCCAGCTGAAATTTGTAACTAGGTGTCACCCCAAGCTACGTGGGCTCTGGGATGCAGAAATTCATTGACACAAAACCCACATTCAAAACAAGTGAGTTTTTGACTAACTACTAATGGATGTCCTGTACCAAGATTAGCAAATTACCTCTTCCAGATCCTTAAAACTGAGCTTATTCCTTGAATTTACTGGAAAAAAGGGAAGAGTTCAGTATATAAGTACTTACTGCAGAATTAGTTTTGTGCCTTGGACTGAGCACAAAGGAATTGATTTGCTTAGTAAAATTATCAGTATTTATATTTGTCCTCATGGCTGTTAATCTGAGCAGAGAGACTACAGTTTTACAGCTACATAGGGGAATGCCTTTTAAAATGTACTCTGAATACTTCATTAAAGATTTTGGCATAGCTGAGGTTTCCTGTGTTCTGAACACTGCACAGACAAGAAGTGCATAATCAAACAATGGCACTTTACTAAAGGCACAACTCTACACAAAAGAAAAATTTGGGAATAACATGGCCTAGCAGAGAAGTTGTGTCAGGGGGAGACTGCTGAGTGGGTTTGGTTTGTTTGTTAACCTGCAAGTGAGGTACAAAGCTTTGCTGCTATACAGGTCATCCAGAGATGGGTGGGAAAATAATTGTTTTTTCCTCATCTGCATTTTGTACAGGAAAATTGACAGTCTTGCTAAGCAGACAGCCCTAAATGATACATATTTTGTACCCCAACTGGAAGCACTTACACAAAAGAGCTGCTACCTGGTTCTCCCCAGGGACAGATAAATCAGAGGTGTGCATTGGTGAGCACAGGTTCCATACATAAACATATAGGCACTGCGATTTATTACTTGTAGATAGCTCCAGCATGTTAATGTTCATTTCTCTTCCATATTTCAAGAGCACCAGAAGAACTATTCACAGTATGACATTTACAATAGAGTTTATGCAGCCAGATTTGCCTACTTAAGGCTCTCACTGTATTTAGAGCTGCTGCAGCCATGCAGAGTCCTCTGGCATGAGGCACCGAGCCTGCTGTCAAGGATGTTTGATATCTTTAGCAAAGCAGAGACAGGACTCTCTCACTGGGAAACGTGCAGTGAAGGGAAGGGAGAGCAACTCATGAGATGCTGACAGACCTGTTTTTCTGAGCTGTGCAATATACAGGGCTTTAGAGGAAACTTCCCCTCTTTTATCCTCTTCCCCATAGCACCAGCACTCACCCCAGTACATGCTGGGACTTTCCTAAAACTGCTCAGCTTTGCTTTTTTCTGTTTTGTTTGATTTTTTTTTTTATTTTTTTATTTTTATTTTTATTTAGAAGAACAGAACCTGGAAGTTTTTCATTAAGCACCATGGAGTCTGGAGTAGCCTGAAGAAGGCCAAGTCTGGCTTTGTATCTTCTTCCCATAGTTTCAGTAGCTGCAATTTTTTTACTGACAATAGAGTGGATTCAAACTTTGAACTGTCCATCCACAGCTTTCCACAGAATCTTCCTGCAAACTCCCTTTATCTTTGGTGCTGAGACAGACTCCTGAGACCTACTCATTTAACAGTGGGATAATATATTTGGAGTCATGGATCAAATGGTTTCACCACCCAATGAAAAGACACTTTTTCTCCATCACTGGAGCCATGCATTGACCTTGCTGTACCCTGGCATATGGAGCTGCCAAAGCTGTCAGTGACTGCCAGCCAGAGCATAGGAACTGTTGAGAAGACTTAGGAGAGAAGGAAAAAGGTGCACTTCTGTCTTTGAAGGACAAGTGGTGGAAAAGAACCAGATTCTTACCAAGTGGGAAGAATAATCTGGGACAAGCTGCACAGGATGGGGGGAAGAAGCACAGTGGCAATGCAGAGACAGGGAAAGATGCTCAGAGGAGATCCAGGAATCAGCATCATTTTATCATATACAAGAGAGAAGCAGAGACTCATAGAATACCAGGTTGGAAGGGAACCTCAAGGATGATCTGTTCCAACCTTGTCATGCAATAGTTACCATCCAAATACTTTTTTGCAGAAGGCATTTCCTTCCTGTCTGATGAGGTCAGCAATGGCAGCTGAAGCAAATTGTGACCTTTGCTTTTCAACTTGTCTCAGTAATGAAGTGAAAGAATGACAGTGAACAGCATTAGCTACAGTATAAATATACTGGTTTTTCAGTCTTAGGCACTGACAGTGAAATATTCCAGACCTGCAGTTCACTCTGTGGTATAGAGATATGCTAAACATGCTCACTGCAAACCCATATGTGCTTTACGATGTCCACCCTGAGAACTCACTTGCCTGCTTCTGTACAGCAAAGAGCAAACCAGGGCCTTAGCCCATGATTCTTTTTCTTGAGGTGTTTTACAGTTCTTTCCCAGGCCACTACATAAGAACTAACCTGTCCTTTGGAAAGATTTATGAAAAATATATTGAGGGGAGAACCAGCATTTGATTTGGTTTTGCAGACTTGTTCATCAAAGCAATCAGGCTGTACCAAACCTCTGTGTTCAGTCTGTCTGAATTTAAAGCACTTCGAAGGGAAGGTGAAGCTGAAGATCTGGATACTATACTGGGTAGATCATACAAAGAACAAATTTTAAAATGGAACATGTATCTGTCCCTTGTGGGCAGAGGGAGATGACACTGATGGCTCCTCAATGAGAACCACTCACACACAAGCCTATTGAAGCCTCTCCTCCTGGCTGCTGAATATTCATTATGGGTGCAACAGGCTGGAGTACCATAGTGGGGACACATTTTTGTGATGGAAACTCCTGTTCTAGTATTGTTAAAGGCCTTCAGCATCAAAACTGTGAACAAACCTATACAGGACTGAGGTAAGTTTTTTGCTTGGTTGCTTTGTTTAATTGTCTTCCACTTTCACTAATGACAGTGATGATCAGTTGATTGCTTCTTTGATTGTTCCTTTCCCCACTGGAGCCTTCAGTCTTTGTGATTTATGTGCTATAGTTATCAACAGTCCAAATGCTGAAGTAGTTTATCACATGCAGAAAATGTGACAATTCTTTCTTCAGAAAGAAGCACAGTCTGGCATTTCTACCATACAGGGAGGTTTAAAATGCCTGACTCTCTTGGTATTTCTAATTGCTCTGCATATTTCTCATGTAACACATCATTACCAAATCAAAATCATCACACTTCTATTTTTTATTTTTTGCAAAATTATAAGAAAATAATCTCTTCTATGAGTGTTCTGCATTCTTCTCTTGTTTAGAAATGTCAGGGTGCAAAGAGAAAACAAAGTAGTAGCTTGTTTCCATTTCTGTTTCCCAGAAGAGGGCACTTGTTCAGAGGGCTCTGAACAAGTGCCCTCTTACATACTAGGGACAGGAGAAAAAGAGTGATGCAAGTAATAAAAATGACAATTCTGTTATTTCCAGACTTCTCACATACAGAACATTCTGCAACATTAGCAAAGCTATAACCCATGTATTGAAAAAACACAATCCTTCAGAAAGTCTGATAAAACCTTGAGCTATTTCCTCCATCTCTCTAGAACTAAAGATGCCAAATTTTTCAATACAATACGATACAAACTAATCTTCCATCTGAAATGCCTTGTGCTTGCCAGGATTTTTTCCTGTTTCTTAAAAAACAAACAAAAGCTTGTTTTGAAAGAAATATGAAAGGAACCAAAGAAGTTGTGTTGAGCCAAACCTCCTGCTTTCTCCACCCTCACTGTACTCATCTAGAGAGCATCTGGCAAACAAATCCATTGATAGTTTAGAAAAGTCTTTTATCTGTCCTCACAGACTTAAAAGGAAAGTGGAGAGCATACACATTCTGAACTAATTGCACATCCTCTTTGTACTTTTGCCAACTTGAAAAGATGATAGCACAGCACACAATACATACTTTAAAAGAAAAAGCCTTCTCTGGTAAGGCTGCATGAAACCCAGGTTGGTAAAACTTGCAGGAGAGAGGGCCAGCTACATTAACAATGAGTTGTCCAAATAAACACAGATGAAGGGCAGCATATAAATCCTGCCTCCATACTGTAAGTGATACCAGAGCAGGCAGCATACCCTCCTTAAGTAGATTGCACAGTGTACAATCTCTCCCCTGGTACATAAATCTATAACATGTGAGACACAGGTGAGGAAATGTTGGTGTCTTTCATGCATATTTATGTAAATGCTATGATTACACTAAGTAATCAAACCAGCAGCATGCAAATTTGAACATGCATCATCAAAGAAATGCAAATATTTATATAACAGTTTAAGTGGGAAACATTTAGGACAGTCCTTTGCTAGGAAAAGATTTATTTTCGAATAGCTGACCATTGCAAAGTTGGGAGCTGCTATTTATCAGAATTTGAGCATTCAGCAAACTTCTGAGGACCTAATTGCCTTCTGTGCTTGCAGGTATCCTCAGGAATAAAATTCTTCTCAGAATGAAAACTTCACCTAAACCAGAATAAATTGGCTAATTACTATGGTGTATATATTAAAATCCCAATTTTCTGTTTTTAGTCTTTTTAGTATTTGGCTTCCTGCAGCTTCCTGCAATGAAAAATACAAGGGCTCTAAGGCCATTTCCTCCAAAGTGACCACAGTATTGCTTTCTAACTCCTTCCTCAAACACAGAGCATGTACATCAAGATAAGAAAAAAAAAAACCTTTCTTAAAAAAATACATTATATGAACCATTGCACTATATTCTTTGGCAGATGCATAGTGTCAAACCTTATTTCAAACCTGTTAAAGAGGTTAAAACAGATTTGTAAATGACTCAGACTGAGCAGAGCTCTTGGGAATGCTTTCTTGGCTGTCTTGCAATCCAGAACTAAGAAGAGATGGGGGAGGAAGCATTAGGGGCTTTTTTTTTTTGCAGGTAGTTTCATGTTTTTAGCACTATCAAACTGGATTTCACAGGCTGTCATGCTGTGTCCTCATGTCTTGGAAACTTGGGTGTCTCAGCTGTGCAGCGAGCAGCATCCTCACTGAAAGGTCACACTGCTGGAGAAAACAAAGCAGTCCTTGAAACACTGTGAGCCACGGAATGTCTGGGGTGATTCGTCCACATTTTTATTTCTGATCTATAATGAGGTCTAAAGTTTGTTTTGAAGGATCTGTTTTGGAATACAGTGCAGATCTGTGGAGGCTGCCATGCTGATGACATTACAGGATGCCTGGCAGTCCTTGATGTCTTGCCACATGCTCCTCCCAGCTGCAATTCCATTTGAGCCATTCCTCCGAGATCTCTTATGGACTATCAAGCCCGAGGATACAGATGTTAACAGCTCCCATCAGTTAAAAACAAAAGCAATTCCAAATAGAAATCAATTTTCCTGAATGGTTGACTATTCATCTCTCAGAAAGAGTAACTGGTGAGACTGAGCTCCCGCTGTAATGCCAGGCTGCTGCTTCTGAATTTCTGACTCTCACAGGCAGAGGTGTCTCACTGCCTCTCCAGCAATCACGGTTTGACACAGAAGGGTGCTATGTCTTTCATTTTGATTTCCTTCTACTCACTACCTATTTTACCTCCCCATCTTTGCACTCTATTCTGATTAGTTTCCCTTCAAATGGAAAAGAGCATTGCTACCAGATTACTTTTGCATGGTGGGATTTGAGTCCTTTTTCAGGTTAAGTAAACTGGACAAAAACTTTAGTGACAGATAGATATCTAACATTGCACAGAGAAATTCCAAGAGCTGTTTGTCATCTGTTGGCTAGGGGCACAGACAACTCCCAGACACATTTAAAAAAAAAAAAAAATCTCTTTCAGTAGAAGAACAACCATCCATTTCACATCTAACTGATTACTACTTGTGCAGTTCTGTTAGATATCATGGAGCCTTATACCTTGTGGCAGTTAATATACTCAGCATTTCATACAGAGCTGAAGCCTTTTGAAGCCTTCCCTTCCTGGTTCACACTGTCTAAATTCAGTTTATTTCAGAATGTTTTTGTAGGTCCTAAGCCTGATATCTGTTGATACTAACCCACAAAACGGAAAGTATTAATGGCAAAGGTTACAAGAAGAGTATCTCATAAGTCTTACTCAGACAGGATCTTGAGGTTAGACTAAAGTTCATGACTATTACACCACGTATATCATTACCTTTTTGTCCAGTATTACAAGTGGTTGTTTTTAGAAAAGACTCACAACAAAGATTAGTTAACCAAAATGTTATATATTTCATACCTTCCATTAACTAGGATCTTGTTCTACACCTAAAAGCCCCAAATCCTCCTGAAGTTGTACTCATTTCTGAAAGAAAAGGTCTCTTCCAGCCTTGATGATTGTATGATCCTATGATTCTAAGAGAGCTCTTCCTGTTAGCTGTTACCCAAGTATCATCTTAAATTAAACTAGATCTTAATTTTGTTAAATGAATATCTAGTTTAATATGATGCTTAACTCACAAAAAGAAAAGCACAAAAGACAACTGTTTTACTTACTCCAAGGAAACTAGAACTGAAAACAAAAAGGAAATACAGAGGGCATTATAAGCTTATAAAAAGGAAAACAAAATAAAATAAGTACTCTTAAAGTGATTCTCTGCTTGGGGCTGCCAGCCTGAGGTCAGTGCCCAGCTGTGACTCAGGGCTGAGTGAGCAGCAGTGAGAACCTGGCACAGTTCCACACATCCCCAGGCTGGGGCTGCCCTGCCCTGTG